ATGTTCTGTCACAGCTTCGTGATGATCCAATTTCTGCACACGAATAGCTTCGTTAAACAGCTTCCAGAGTATTCCCTGTTCGATTACTTGCTCTATGGCGCCTAAGCCGTACGTTGTCCAACTTTCTTCAAGTGTTAACATGAAACATTCATGTGTTCTCTGACTCGGGTGATCCACTTTACAGTCACAACACTTTTCCTTACGTATTTTCGCTATTTCGTCTGAAACAGCTTCAGAAAATATAGCATCCATCATACCACATAAATGCTTCACTTCATGCGATGCAACTTCGACCATTAGTAAACAAAATACCCCACGCTCTTTTGCTTGGAAAAAACTCATGTTCCGCAAATTAAAGTATTTCGTAACGATCTTTCTCTCTCTACCTAAAAAAAGACACAAATGATAACATACATGTTTTCCAAAGCCGTTAATTTGGCAATCGTTTGACAATCTGATAGTTTTCGTATCCACATCTAAACAATAATTTAACTGTTTTCAAAAAGTCCTGCTAAAAATTCGAGTCGCTATGGTTACCCCTCGCAAAGTAGAAGTTCTCTCCGCAAAAATATACTCTGTAAAAGTTTTATCCGCAAATTAAAATATACTCTGTAAAGTTCTCTCAGCAAACGTCAGGTACATCAATCAATCAATTTCAATCAATTTTATTGAGCACCATAATTTCAATTATATTATTTACATTAAATATTCTGATCCTGATTTAGGTGCAAGCTAGCAGCAGTAACCATTAGGTTAAACGAGGCAGCTAGCTTAATAAATAAATAATATATTTCCAATTAATTTTAATTAAAGCACAGAAGTATAACTTGAAGGTCAGAAATTATTCATATATAAATAAGTAATTCACTAGTACTAGTACCTTGCTTATAACTATTCAAAAAAAGAGAAAAAACAAAAGGAAGAGAAAAAAAGAAAATCTTGTTCAAATATAATTGCATATAATTATTAATTTTGTATTTTTAATCTTTGGAATAGAATAAGTCAATCTTGAAGCAAATCTGGTATTATGATAATGTTTTTCTTCTACAGAAGTAAAAAAGTATGAAATATTTCTGGCAAGTTTCCATTATAGAAATCATGCATAAAATGCTGCATTCCAATAGAAGACAAGATCATGCATCTTCAATATATTTAATTTTATAAGTAAAGGATCTGTATGGTCATAAAAAATTGAAAAGGTCATTGACCTAACTATTTTTTTCTGTAAAATAAACAAAGGATCGATAGATGAAGCATAGGTGTTTCTCCAAATCACTAGTGCATATGTTAGAAATGGGTAAATAAGGGAATAATAAAGGTTTATGAGCACATCAATACTAACAAAATGCCTTATTTTGGATATTGCACCTATATTGCGTTTAACCTTTTTCGATATATTTGACACATGCGATTTCCAATTTAAATGACAGTCAATTGCTATACCCAAGCAAGTGGTACTAAATTCTCGTTTAAAAGTATTTGGTTATTTAAGAAGCCTTTAATTTCGTAGTTAAGCTTTCTCTGGACCGAGTGAAATATGATATAGTTTGATTTTTCAATATTAAAGGACAACTTATCAGCACAAAGCCAACGATAAACTTCTGATAGTTGAGCGTTAACCCTTGTTTTTAGCCTTGATAAACTCTTATCGGAGCAGAAGAGATTTGATTCATCAGCAAAAAGGTGAATATCAAGATCACTAGTAGTGTTTTTCATATCATTAATATATAAAAGATAAAATGTAGAGGGCCAAGAACAGAACATTGTGGCACCCCACAGGTAACATCTAGTAATCCTGACGAGACACCTCCTATTGAAACAAATTGATTTCTATTATATAAATATGACTCACACCAGTCATGTACTTTTCCCCTAAATCCATAATGCTCAAGTTTTTGTAAGAGAATAGAATGATTAACTGTATCAAAGGCCTTAGATAAATCTAAGAAAATACCATACGAGTAGTAACCATTTTCAACAGCTGTTTGTATCTGATCAGTAATCGAAAGTATTGCAAGTAATGTAATGTTTTGCACGAAAGCCAAATTGCTTATTGTATAAGATATTGTGTTTTTCAATGAAACAACTAATTCTATTAAAAACAAGTTTTTCTAACAATTTATTGAAAATTGATAGCAACGAAATCGGACGATAATTATTACAATGCATAGTTGAACTTGTGTATAGGAATTACCCTGGTCATTTCAAAGCAATCCGGTACACAACCAGTTAGCAAACAACTATTAAATAAAATTTCTAGAGGTTTGCAAATAATTCCCTTAATTAGTTTTAAAATATTTACCGGCACACTAAAAGGACCAGCAGCTTTTGAAGAGTTTAGTTTATTAAGGTACAACTCACGCGACAATTCATTAAGGGTTGCTGACGCCATCTCATGCAGTATTATTCCAAAAGATCGATCACGCGACAAATGTTAGAGAAGTTAAGATACCCCGGTTCGGGTTTACGGGTACGAGTATCGCCATTTTGTTTACCAATTTTTGCTGATGTCAGCAATTTTACCCGTAATTTCTACCCGTTGCTCCGCGGTAAACCATGGTCTACACGTAAACGACAAACGGGTACGGGTGTTTTCTGTTTACTATTTTTGGGCCGTTTAAATAGTACAAATTTTCAACATCTTACCCAAATAAATAATGCACATATGCTGGTCAAAGTTTTCAACAATTTATGGCGAACCTCAACAGCGAAAGTTGCCGCCATTCTGATCGTTTTTTTTTTACGCCGGAGTATCTTGCATTTCTTAAGTTACAAGTTATTCCCCGATTTACGGGTACGTGTATATCACCCGTACCCGTAAACCGGAATTGGGGTATCTTAACCTCTCTGTTAAGGCCTAATTCCACGATGAGCGAAATGCGAAAAATTCCGCACGAAAACACACTTATGCAAAAATTTTCTCTCGTCAATGATTTCCACAGTAGAGAAAAAACGCGCGATTTTTGAATGACATCAAAACAAATACAAGCATTTGATTGGCCTCGCACAAGACACAAGCATTTGATTGGCGTCGTTATCTCCATTTCGCAACGGAGTAGAAACGAATTCGCAACGGAGTAGAAACGAATTCAACTACCCGGCGAAGAGAAACATTTCACAGCGAAACACGCCAAAATCATGTTGCGCATGCGTTCAACCTTTTCGGGCGAAACTTTTCGTGTTTCGCTCGTCGTGGAGTTAGGCCTGCGACAAATATTATGCGACAAATAGTTGCTGACGCCATCTCAATGTTCCAAAAATGACGTCACACCTAGCTTAAAAATGCTGACGTTATGTGGCGGGAAAATTCCGCCAAACGTCTAGGATATCTACTCTAGGATATCGTTTGAGCAGTTTGTTAGCCATGCTTGCACTAAATAACAAACGCAACTGATCTCAAATGTACTTTGCAACTGGAATTTTATCGGAATTTCACCATAACTATGAACAATCAAATAAAAAATAAACACGTTATTTATCGTTTAGGTCGGTCCGTATTAAATTCGACGATAATTTGTCGCTTTGATGCTGTCCCACCCCTCGTAAGGCGGTATTGTCAATATGTATTGATTACGTCACGGTAGCAGTTCTAAGTATTATGATGAGGAGCGCCGGAAGGACTGAAAAGCGGCGGGGGCAGAATCTTGAAAAGGGCACTCGAGCGCCGAAGGCGCGAGACCTCGTAGGGTGTCCTGGGACATCCTTCCCCGGGAAATTTTAAGTCTAGAGTCTCTGAAATGCAATTTCATGCGCTTTGGGCAGAGTTTGACATAATTTTGAGAATTCATAAACATCACGTAAAATACAAAAAACAGTGAAAATTTTAAGTATATGGGTGGAATATTTTGGTAGCTGATGACGTCTGACAGTTTGCAGCCAAATATTTCTATACATTGTACACTAGATCAGATTTTTAATAGATTTTTAATAGATTATGAATAAATTGAGTAGATTATAACATGTATAGGTCACGAACATTGTGCAACATATATGCAGTTCATTCAAATATACTCACACAATAATGTAGAGTAAACTAAATTGATATATAATAAGATAAAGGAATAATAAACCGATAATAACCGATTGTAACACTGTACTATAACTCTAATATGTAATCATTGCTTTTTTGCTTGCGTATGCCGATGTATATATCCCAACGAAACAAACTGAGTCAACTAACTGTCACGGTTCAGTGCTTCTTATTTATAGTAGAGGCATGGAAGTTGAACAAACAAAAAACTGAACTTAATAAGGTTGCGTATCTTGGGTGGAAAATCAGAAGAAGCTGGAATCATGGGCTTAGCCCATAGAAATAATAGACATAGGTCTAATATTTCTATGGCTTAGCCAGAGGCCCGTCCACCCGTCTTTTGGACTGGTACTTGTGAATCTGGCAGTTGATGTTAAAACTCTAATATTTTGTCTGTAGTAATTAGTACAACCGTATAAACTTAAATTTTGCTATAACATCACCGTTAAACAGTCACTGCACATTCCTGCAAAATACATCCAGAAGCAAATAAGCTACAATTTCCTTTGTATTTAAAATATATTATTATAAGTATTTTAGACTGATTTTAAGAATAACTTCGGCGGTATGTTAAGTGAGGTAACCAAGCTGTTTGCTCTTCAGTTTTGAGTGTAGTTTTACCAACATGAGTTCCACCTTTGAATTTACTATATGAGTAAGTTCTTAAACACGTCCGAATTTATCATTATGATAAATTCGCGGCACATATTGAATTTATCAATAGAGTTAATCATAAAACCACAATCATTGCACAAGGTTTACTGTTATAAATGTAATGGCACTAAAAGGGAGGCTGGTCGCTCAGGGGTTGGATGTTTTTCAAGTTTTTAAAAAAAATAGTTTTTAAAAAAGTTTTAAAAAGCAAGAAAAGTTTAAAAAGTTAGATTTTTAAAAAGGTTAAAAAAATTTAAAAAGTTAAAAAAATTAGGGTTAGGGGTTAGTGGTTAGGGGTTAGGGTTAGGGGTTAGTGGTTAGGGTTGGGTTGGGGTTAGGGTTAGTGTTAGGTGCCGCGAATTTATTATTATGATGAATTCAAAATTTGCCGCGAATTTATCATAATGATAAATTCGGACGTGTTTAAGAATTTACTCATATAGTAAATTCAAAGGTGGAGCTCATGCTGAGTTTTACACGGGTTTCGTTTGACTGCTAAAGCCTGGCGCACACGATGCGATTTTAGTCGGCCGATAAAAATCGTTTGACTAAAACTAACAAAATCGTTGTGTGTGCGGTGTCATATTTAACCGATTTTTGTTGCTCGATTTTAATCGGACAACATCAAAACGTTTTGATATTGTACGATTTTTATCGGTGGAATTTTAAGTATAACCAATCAGATTTCATGCTGTGATCACGTGCTTGTATTTATTTGGCAACATGGCGGCTACATTTCAAGGAGCGTATTTTTTTGGAACGACGAGAAAGAAGGAAATTTAGTCGAATTATGGGAGCAATTCACATGTCTTTATCAAACGACAAGCGAAGATTACAAAGATAGGGCTATACGGAACCAAGCCTATGTGAGCATTGCTGATGTACTTGGAACAACCGGTATGTAATGAAGTGCTGAACAATTTGCTTTATAAATAGATTTTGTATGTACGTATCGAGAAAATTCATTAACAAAATCAAAACGCTGTGGTGTATCTCCAATGACAACACATCAGTGCAACAGTCTTAATTAAAGATTGTTTCAAATCTTGAGGTATGCAAGTCTAAACTGATAAAAAATTAAACTTTCAAGTTTTTATTAATAAATATTGTCTGAATTATTTTACATTGAATAAAATTAACAATTCATACTATGTACAAATTTATTCATTAACATGTGTAACAGTTTTCACACAAACAAGATTTGTAAAACATACCAGATTCTGTTATAATTGAATTTACATAATAACAACAATATTTTATGGTTATTTAATCTATCATTTCATTTTGCCATGGCACTGCACCTAAAGCAGAACTGAAGTATTCTTTCAACGCATCTCTTTGTGATTTGGCACTACAAGCTGAATTTCTGTTTCTAGTTGGCTGTAAGCCAGTCAGTTGTTGGTCTGTTCTCCATGTACCAAGGATTACTTGATGGTTAACATCTTCATTATCTACTGCACAATTAGTAAGATAGTTACTGCCTTGATTCCTTATCAGAAAGTTGTGAAGACAGGTAGTTGCTAGGACAGCATTCTGTGTATCTTCTGGTTGAAGATATGCCTTACTTAGAAGAAATCTAAATCTATTCAACATTATACCAAAAACATTTTCCACCACTCTTCTTGCTCGACTCAATCTATAGTTGTAAATTCTTTTGGCTCTCTCATCTGATGTGTATGGAAATGGTTTCATGAGATCCTTTTGCAAAGGAAAGGCATCATCGCCAATTATGTCAGTGGTAATTACACAGTTTAGAAGTGCCTGGAATGACTTCTTCTTTAGGAATTGATAGCAATTTCTTTTCCATTGCTTCCTTAACAGAACACTCAGCAAATATTCCAACATCTCCACATCTACCATTTGCACCAACATCGACATACATGAACTGGTACTCAGCATCAACTAAAACTAGTAAGACAATGCTAAAAAGTGTTTATAATTATAATTATAATATACAGATACACTGTTTTGAGGTTGTTGAATGGCAATATGTTTACCGTCCATTGCCCCGATACAAAAGGGATAGTTCCATTTTTCCATAAACCCTGTTGCCACTTGTTTCCATTCATCTTGGGTCGAAGGCAACTAAAAATAATAGTGTGGAATTTAATATATTACTGTATCTACATATACTGTAGATCATTGGTGATTCTATATGTACTGTATTTCAGATTTTGCCAACACAGCAATCTGATGATGATGACATTGATATGCCTGCTGAAGAACTTCAAGGCCAGGAAATCACACTGATCACTCAGACTATGCCAAACCAGGAAAATAAGAGACCATGTCCTGGTGGTCCTCCTATACTTTCCAAAAAGTCCCGGACACAGAAACGAGATGAGGAGGAGATGGCTATTTTAAAAGATATAGATAGCTACTTCAATGAATCAAAACTGATCTGGGAAACAAAAGGATGATGAAGCAAATGAATGTGAAAGATTTGGGCAATATGTATCCAAAAGCCTTGATAAATTGGATGGAAAAAGCAGAAGCATTTGTAAAAATATGATACAGAATGCAATTTTTCAATGTGAGATGGGTGTACCACAGTCACAAATAAGTCAACATATTTCTGCAAGCCCACCAAGTTCACTTCATCTGTCATGGTGAAAATTAAAGCTTATTAATATTGACTACTTCATGAATACATATTTGTTTTGTTAATCACAAAAGATTGTTTTCAAAACATTGTTATATATTTTGTTATGCCTATTGTTTAATATGCTGTTTATTTTTATATATTTAAGTTTGTAATAAATTTATTTATAACATATCAAACATTTTGTTGAACTGACGCATTTTTAAAATTACTATTCTTGACTGAACAAGTGCCCTTGGGGACATAGGCAAGCCAAAACCATTGTAATAAGTGTGAAACTATATGTTTCAATATCTGATTTTTCTAACCTTCAAGAAAGTATCTTTCATCACATGATATATCACTTGACAAGTTTCTTTCACAATTTCAGAAATTGTGCGTTCTCCAACTCTAAAGGCAAACGACAAGCTTCGAAAACTTTCGCCTGTAAAAATTTCAAATGAAAGCAAATTTTAATACTATTTCATGTAGTATATACATTTTGTTGCATACAATAATACAAAACAGTACCTGATGCGAGGAACCTTTCTTCAGCACTTATTGACTCTCGCATATTAGTGTCTTGTTTGGTGATATAAGGGCTCAATATTGTAACTAGTTTCTGAAAGTTTTCAGGTGTCATTCTTGTAAACCTTTTAAATGTCTCGATGTCACCATCTTTAATTTCGCAAAGGAACGTCCGGTAAAAACCCAATTCCCTCCTGCGCTGTATCCACGAACGTGTCCAAATTTCTCGGTTGTTTGCCCCCTTACGTCTTTGTCTTCTTCGCAAAATAAGCAAAATGACAAGTACAGCTTGTCTCTTATTGATTGCCGCCATCTTGAAATCCCAAGTAGCTCAAAATCAACATTTAGGCGGCGATAATCGTGTGCGGAGTATACCGATGTATATCGGTATGTCAAACGATTTTTATCGGCCGACTAAAATGGCATCGTGTGCGCCAGGCTTAAGAATTACGTTTTTAGAAGATAATGATTAAAGATCTGATTTCATAATTATTCCAAGAAACATTCTTTTTTTTTGGGGGGGCAGACGGCAGACCTGATCGAGCATTTGTGGACGGATACATTGCTAGTCCTGGCTATGTCCCTGGCTTGAATGCTCTAAAACCATCTAGAGCAGGGGGAGACTTATCGCGCGAATGCATGCGTTATTGTTGTGCCAGTCTGCCAGAGCATGACTGCGCTAATCGACTGCAGAAAATTAGGTGTCTCAAGAAACTAGAAAAATTTAGAAGGCTTATAACAAGACGATCAACGTAGCCTGCGTAATGCGTAAATAATCCATGAAATGAACGTGGTCATGATATATACTTATACATCTGACGGCAAGTCAACAATAATAACTTATTAGTTAATGCCATTAATCCTTTTGTTGTCACAAAAAGGGGCAACCAGTTGCCCTCGCACTGCCCCCGCACTGTTAGGGCAGCGGGGGCCACTGCCCCCGACGCCCCTGATTGCCATGTTTTTATAAGTCTCACTGCCAGCCTGAGTCCTTGGATAATAAAGTTTTGTTATAGTGATATGCCGTCGCTTGCAACTAAGGATGAACGGTTGTAGGTAAAAGACTAAAATATTCTCTATTCTCATCACAAAGTTCAATGTTTTTACCGACAAAGTTCAATGTTTGTGATGACATTTGAGCTGGTTGAACGTGATCAGCCGATCTGATTAAAACCTGTCAAGTGCTCTTGACAAACATTGAACTTTCTAGTTAAAAACATTGAACTTTGTCACGCGAATAGGCAATGTTTTTATGTGCGACCGTTCATCCTTAGTTGCAAGCGACAACAGTACTAGTACCTCATCTCTTAGGAGAATACGAGGTAGAGGATGTAGCCAGATACCTACTAAATTTGTTAATTTTGAACACACAAAATGTGCAGTGTTATTTATTATCAACACTAAGCGTCTGTGTCAGCCCACAGAGTAGATTGGGTGAATATACCGGCATGCATTGCGGCCAAGCACATTTTATTACATATTATCTCGGCAGTGCACGTCATTGTTCGATTAGCTTTCGCGGAAGTCAGAACTGGAGAAGTACTTCAATTATTACAACTAAAATGGCAAGTTTTCGCCGCATTCGTGGGAAGAATGTTTCGGTATTGAATGGACACGAGCTTTTGTTTGTTCATTGCATGAATGTGTGTCTAAAGAAACTTTAATCTTGATCCCAAGCGGATTACCGTGTGTCGAACTTGAATGTCGTGAGAATAGCGCTACATGTCCATCGGTTGTTTATATCAATGGAAATTGAATCAAAGTCGACGAAATGTTCGCTGAATGCAGTCCTGCATTGATAGAAATACAATTCGAGCTGCATTTTTAAGGTAAGAATATTTAGATGCACGTTATTTACTTTAATTCATTGTGTTGTCTAATTAAATGTTTGTGGATCAAATTACTTGAATCCTTTGAAAATGTTGACATGATTATACGTACATCTCAATAGAGGAATTGACTAACATCATAATATTTGCTTTGGCATAGTGATTCTTATTGATCGTAGCTGAGGGAGAATATTTGATTCAGTGGCGTAGCTAGCGGTCCTGCTTGTCCTGCCCAGCACTTGGCCGCAGGACTAAAAATTTCCCCAAATTTCCTTACTAAAACATTGCTTTAATTATCTTGAAGCTTTAAAAATTCATCATTATCATATTGTTATTTTGTCTCATTTTCTCGTCTTTTTCGTTATTATTTTTTAAAAGGGTTTTTCACATTCTGTTATATTAACGCAATTTTACAGCTTGCTCACGAAATGCATGTGAACAGACTCGACTGACGATTGTGTATTTTTATAATACAATATAATGGGGATAAGTTCATTTTGATTCTGTCGTATTGATATAAAGTAAGAACGTAATATTTACTGCCAGTTCATCTGCTTTATGCATTGAAACACGAGCACTTATATGGAGTTTAAAAAATGATATACTGTACCAATTTAGATTCACACTGGTTTTATGTAGATATTTGGCCGCATACTGTCATACACTATATTAAACGCTATATTACAGTCGTGCCAATAGAAGCGTTCCGAAAAATGTTGACCAATTCATTTCCTAACTTGAAGGAACACCTCTGAACAATTCCTCAACAATTTGATAAGTTCCTTAAAAAGTTTCTAACTTCCTGTTTCATTGACCAATCAAATTTTATATTTTATTTTTGAGCAATCTGATTGGTCAATGAAACAGGAAGTTAGGAACTTTTGGAACTTATCAAATTGTTGAGGAATTGTTCAGAGGTGTTCCTTCAAGTTAGGAAATGAATTGGTCAACATTTTCCGGAACGCTTCTATTGGCACGACTGTAATACCATAGGTCACCATAGGCATAGCGTATTGAATTACATTCAGAGTGCCAGGCGTAGACGTAGTGGTCTGTAGTTGATACCACGTTTATAAAGTTTAACACATTACTAACAAACGTAGTGAATTTTTAACGAATGCTAGCCGTAGCATTAGAGTGTATAAAACACCGTGTTCAACAGTACAATAGTTACGCAATAGGCCTTTCCAAGGTTTCTACCGCCATATTGCAGGGGGTGCAAAAACATTGGGGCGAGCGTGCGGCCACCAATGGCGCCCATACTATTTCCTATTGAGTGAGTGAAAATTACCTTTTGACATTTTGTCCTTTTTCTCAAAAAAATTCTATACAAGCATATCCAATTTTTATTTTCAGATAATCGCTGGGTTTTTTCTGATATGTGGCCGAGATTTCTTGGTAATCGAAGGACAGGAAGTAATACAAAACGGCGGCTTTTGTTGTACAACTTGACCGACGTTTGGGCGATGATTCTTGTTATTTCGTTTGTTTAACCGATCTTTGGAAGAATATTTGTCCATTAAGTGTGTAAGTCCTTTGGTGTCCGCCATTATTACTGTTTATATTTGTATATTTGTACAAAAATCATCGCTCAAACGTGATGATGATGATGGTAAACTTTATTTAACCACGCTAACATTGTCAGCAGAAGCTGGTTTCCACAATGGGCGTGTAAAAAACATTAACAAATTGTTACAAGTAAAATAATAAGGAAGTATTAACATGCAGAATATAAAATTATTAAAATATATACAAAAAGTTTGCTATTTACAATGATGTGGTTTTCTTTATAAGCTATATAGGTAGCGATTTTTCTTTTAAAACTTGAGAGCGAATTACTTTCTCTTATATTTTTTGGAAGAGAGTTCCATATGGAAGCTCCATCATACATGAAACTCTTTTTCATATTGTTTGTGTTTGGCTTGGGCAAACGTATGGTACTTGAGCTGTTACGAAGACTGCGGTTTAATATTTCTTTTTTGAAAGTAAATAATTCTTTGAGACAATTTGGCCCCATGTTATTTAGCGTTTTAAACATTATTTTTGCCTTTGCTTTCACTCTTTGTTCCTTGAGTGGTTCCCATCCTAATATATTTAGCACAGTTTGTTGATCTACCACATTAGGCACACATGCTATTACACGAGCAGCTCTGTTATGAAGTTTTTGGAGACGCGTGGATTGCGTTTCACCAAATATATTCCAAACTTCACAACAGTAGCTAAAGTATGGTTGAATTATAGCATTGTATACGGAAACGAGTGTTTTTTGATCAACATATTCTTTAATGCTTTTAAGAGCGTATATTCCAGATGATATCTTTTTACATATATTATCTGTATTGCTCTTCCAACACAAATTTTCATCAACAGTCACACCTAGTGTTTACATTGAAAAACCTGCTTTATGGGTATGTTTTGAATGTGAATTTTAAGTTGCTGAACAGAAGCTTTCTTCAGCATCTGTTTAGTACCAATAATTTGAAATTCAGTTTTCGCCACATTCAAGCTCAGTTTGTTTGCCATGAGCCATTTACGAAGCATTTCTAAATCTGAGTTTACTGCATCTTCAAGATCACTTAAGCATTCTCCAGCTGCTGTGATATTTGTATCATCAGCAAACAGCCGTGGTTTTGTTTTACTCAGACATGCAGGTAGATCATTAATATAGAGTACGTCGGTCAAGTTGTACAACAAAAGCCGCCGTTTTTTATTACTTCCTGTCCTTCGATTAGCAAGAAATCTCGGCCACATATCAGAAAAAACCCAGCGATTATCTAAAAGTAAAAATTGGATATGCTTGTATGGAAATTTTTTGAGAAAAAGGACAAAATGTCAAAAGGTAATTTTCACTCACTCAATAGGAAATAGTATGGGCGCCATTGGTGGCCGCGCGCTCGCCCCAATGTTTTTGCACCAGCAATATGGCGGTAGAAACCTTGGAAAAGCCTATTGGTACACCATATATAGCACAGAAACAATGCTGATTCAAATAGTGTTGGCAATAAGCATTTTATAACCTTTCAAAATTTATTAATTTAGTTGCGGACGGAATGGAAACAACCAGATTGCGTAATGTTTAAACCGGACGATCGGACCGACAAAATTGTCCGTTTGGGACCGATGTGTTGATTGTAAAACTATTGACAGTTATTGACCAAAACTGGTCCCAAAACAAATGCTAATTGGTGATGTGCGCTGCACATTACAGTTAAAATTTAATCGCATTTTTTCCTCAATATATTTTGACCAAAAAAAATTTGACCAAATTTCAATATTGATGAAAGACGGTGTATTTCTTCAAATGTTAGCGCATTTTCTCTTAATATTTCCCTTGACCAACAACAAAACATTTTGACCAACGTTTTAATGTTTAGAATTAATGGGGGGAGCGGCGTCGTACCCCCCAAGCCCCCCCCCCAGTCGCCACGCCCCTGAGGAGGAAGTATAAAAATAACGCGCAAAGTGATAGGCGAATTTATTCGCGCAAAGAGAATCGAAAGACAAATTTCGGCAATGCAAATGGTTGGCAACAACATACTCCACAAAGTGCAGGACTCAATTCGCCTAGTGGAAACCGATATAACCTACCTTGCAGTGATTCAGCATCAACGACGGGTTCGCGAATTTCGGCGCTTGCCTGTAGAACAAATACAAAAATCAAACATTGAAACACAAAAGAAAAGAGCAATGTTACTTAGGACCCAATTCAGTTAAAATGTAAACAGACTAATATAAACACTCAACTGGTCAATTTAATAATCTGGCGGCTCCTTTAACAACTACGTCAACAACGCCCTCCCTGCTATTGTAAATCCTAAAGAGTCCTGGTCAACCACAATGCAATGCGTGCGTTTTTTTACATTTCTGTTACGTTGTGGACCGGAGGCAGCTATTTTGTGCTAACCAACATTCAGTTGGTAAACTATTCCATAAAACAGCTCCATCGTAGC